TTACTACTAGTAAGGCACTTGTTACTAGAAGCGATGCACTTGTTCCTGATAGCTTATTGTATGCCGAGACAAAAGACCAGAGTCTCACTTTTTCCACCATGCTGTTCGGTGTTCTCATGAAGCTTCACATGTGCTTGCTGGCGTCAGGGCGCTTTCAGTATCTAAACTGCATGGAATAGTCCTTGGCGCCGGGCGCTAGTAGGTTGGAAGCCATCGCTACTAGGTGGAGGCCATCCCTGGTTGGAGGCTCTTAGTGCTTGGCACCAACTGGTGAACCACGTCACCCCGCGTCTTCGATGTGACGCCCACGCGGTGACGAGCTTGGACGATGGCGCGGACCCCGCAGTGAGGAGTGAAGGACACCCCGCAGTCTGCGAAGGTCACGGACATCCAGAGAAATGGCCGCTGTTTTGTCACAGCCACTGCAGATCCAGGTGCACCCTCGAAGACCACATCTAGAAGGACCGAATCACATGGGGTTTCTTCTTTCGACCCTGTGGCCCTGTGGGCTGACGGAAACCGGGCGCGGCCGGTGAACCGTGCCAACCAGACCACCAGGCGGAGGACGAGATGCCCCAGCATCCGAGTGGAAATTTTCCAAATCTAAAGGAGTTCAAGGCAATTGGTCAAGGTACTTGAACGTACCATACTTCGGTAGATTCACTCAAACACACATCTGCAGCAGGTTCCCCACATCCTGCTATAGATCTATCTCCGCTTCCCAAAGTTCATGCCGTGAAACAAGTTGATCCTAAATCTTGGCACAAAGAAAACCCCGTTCAACAGCCATGTTACTAGTAACAAGAAGCTACTATTGACAAGTGCATCGCTACTAGTAACTAGTGCCTTACTAGTAGTAACAAGAAGCTGTTAGAAACAAGAGTGGATTCTCTTTGTTCACTTGTTTCTTTGCAAGAATCCACTTGGTTTTCGTGGATTGCGAATGAGTTCACCCTCCTCCCCGTGTCGAAAGGCGATCCACTGCTCCAGGAGACTCTGGGCGCCATGATAAGATGCATCCCTTGTTGTGCACCTCGGCAGACCAGTGGCAATTCTAATTCTAATGAACTCTTGTTTCTAACAGCTTCTTGTTACTACTAGTAAGGCACTTGTTACTAGTAGCGATGCACTTGTTACTAGTAGCTTCTTGTTTCTAACAGCTTCTTGTTGCCAGTAGTACGGCCAGGAGCCCCTAGTAGCGTCCTTGTTCCTAGTAGCGATGCCAGGAGCCCCTAGTAGCGTCCTTGTTGTGCACCTCGGCAGACCGCCTCCACCAAGTCCAGAAACTCCTGGATGAGAAGCGCCGAATCCGAATCCGACGAAAGGAGACTCTTATTGAGGCGAAAGAGAACACCACTGAAACACCCAAAAGCGTCTTTAGTCATCACTAGGAGCAGGACGCTACGAGCGGAGCAAAGGGCATCGCTACGAAGGGAGCAAAGAGCTCCAGATGTCTCAGGAGCCACGGCCGGAAGCTGTCGGGACCTGCGGACCCGGTCTCCTGGCGGCCGGAGAGGGCGAAGTCCACCTTCCTCTGGGGGCCTTGGCCCAAGTCCAAGTCCAGGGGCTTTCCGCGAAAGAAGAAGATCCTCGGAACCGGTCAGGTTCGAGGCAAGTCAGGTTCGTTTGTGGACCGAAAGAGGGCGGTTTATGGGAGGTTGGGTCAAAGAAGGGAGAGGAGATAGGAGAAATAGGAGAGGAGATGCGAGATGCTGGGTGACACCGCGAACGCATCACCACAAAGTTGCAGCGGGTCTCCACAAACCTGAAGTGTTTTTAGGTGGATTCAGTCAGAGTATGTCAGAGTGATCCAGAAACAGTTTCCAACATCTTCCAAAACGGACACCAAGCCATGAAAAGAAAGATCCCAAATATGTCGCTTTAAAGTCTACTTAGTAGCAAGAAGCTAGTAGTAACAAGTGCATCGCTACTAGGAACAAGAAGTTACTAGGGGCTCTTGGCCTTACTACTTAGTAGCAAGAAGCTACTAGTAATAAGTGCATCGCTACTAGGAACAAGAAGCTATTAGTTAATTTAATCTAATGTTAAGTTAATTCTAATAGCTTATTGTTACTAGTAGTAAGGCACCTGTTACTACTAGTAAGGCACGTGTTACTAGTAACTTAGTGCATCCACATGCATCCCAGGTCTTCGTCTTCTGCGCTCCCGACTTCCATGCCGAGTGGCAACTGGGCGGGTGCCGAGAGTTGGAACTCGGCCACGGACTCCGGCACGTCCCGGATATCCACCGCCTCAGAATTAACTAGGAACAAGTGCATCGCTAGTAGTAACAAGTGCCTTACTAGTAGTAACAAGAAGCTATTAGTAACAAGTGCCTTACTAGTAGGCTCCTCAAAAATGGTGCCTGGCTTCCCCCCCACGCCGGACCTGCTTGGCTGGGTAACCCAATCACCCACTGCCTCCAAGACCTAATACCAGTTGCTAAACCTTCTGCCAAGTCACTGGTCCTCTCGGATCCATTCACAGACCTGTATTGCTCCGAGTAGGAGTCAAGTCAGACACCAAGTCATGGACCGACTCATTCCTGTGCCCATGGGCGAAGACATCGCTGATCGATATGGGCGTGTGGTGTGGCCCCGATCTCATGAGACATAGAAAAATCGATCTCAGAATGGATCCTGGGATCAATTCTTCATTGTTGATGGGGTTGTTCTCCCATAGTTCTCCATGGTTCTCCTTTTCTTCCAACCACAGACCCGACAGACCGATTTCTTCTTCCATGTCAATGTGACACCATCCGGCTCGACACGGTTTGACACCACCAATTCAGCCTAATTGAAACCGGTCGCGCTATTTGCAACGAACGCGACAGCCGGAGTTCACATTCTGAGATGTTGGTTCACATTCTGCACCAAAACCTGGTCATCAATTCTTTTCTTCAGCCAGTCAATCACCCCTAAGCTCCCCTTCACCATACCCTCAACGCTGAGGGTTTTCCAACCTTTTCCTCCGTTTCGGGGCGGCGTAAGTGTGCGGGTTCTCCGTGCGTGCCGAAGCGGCATAGATGGCACAGGCGGACTCCACCGTGGGCGCCGCCGAGACCAGCACCTCCGAGACGGGCGCCACTCGCGACGCGCCGACTCGGTCCCGAGTCGAGGCGTTGAGACGTTGAGACGGTCCATGGAGGGTGATGGATTCGATGTGGTGCAGAGACACTTAGTGATGGCGAGATGTTTGCAGCGTGTTTGCAGCGTGTTTGCACATCTCTCCGATGAGTGACTTCGGGTGGTGAAGCAGTGGAAGTTGGAGAGCTTGAGGCTTCATGACCATGACCTGCAATGGAAGAGGTCCCTCAGACCAGCTTAATATGACTTGCGAATGCAGCGAGGCATTGCAATGTCTTTGAGGAATCAGCATGGTGTGAGGAGGTTGTTGAATTCTTTTGCCTTCTCAGGTTCTTCATACCTGGCAAATGGCAATGGCAAACGACGTCGTTCGCCGCAGCGGAGCCGCAGTCGGCGCCTCGTCCATCTTCATGCATTCCGGTGAGAAGTCTTGGCCGAAGCGTAAGCACACCACCTTCGCTTGCTCTCCCAAGACCGCCTCACACGTGAACTTGCCCCAGTTGGGTGCTTTGTGGTGTCACGAATTGGTCGAAAACAGGGTGCTTTAGACTCAAAGACCCGCTCGGTGCCCCTCGGTGCGAGGACGAAACCGATATCCGTTCGATGAAACGAAGCAGCAGGAGTCCTGCGGAACGAACGATTCAGACGGATTCCGAGAACGGCACCCGCCTGCTCGACGGAATAAGCACTGCTCAAATGCGGTAGGGTAGCGGCCATGGTGCCGCCGGCGGTCGTAGGATGGGCGTGGAGCGATGTTCTGTTTCTCCCAAAGGTCTGGCGATGTTTCACCCGCAGAAACTCTAGAGCACTCTTGAAGTCCATGTTCGTTTCCATTCTCCTTTGAAGCTTTGGGGTTGAAGGAGCTTGGATAACAGAAACACAACATGTGCAGACTTGTAGAACTGCAGTGAACCTGTGCGGCACACTCACGAATATAACGGTGGAAGGTACTTAGTTGCTAATTTTTTTGAAGCCTGTTGTCTTTTTGCATCTTGTGCTTCTTTTGTGAAATCGCTGTTGCCAGAAGAATGCATGGCAGAACGCTGGTGAAGCCACTCACAAAGCCAGCAAATGAAGGTGGGGGGGGGTTGAGCTTAATTTTGGACCCCCTTAAAACGAAAGAGAACCGGCTCAAATCCCACTATCTTTGACCAAACCTCGAACAAGATGACTCAAATCTACGGAGGTCCAAACCGTTCCAACGCAAAAAGGTCCGGCCGAACCAGTCGTTCTTGGTAAAGGCGATGTCCGTCCACCTCTGACGCGAAAGGTCTCACGTCTTGACCAGTACACCTTGACCACCTCAAAGGAACCGTTGAGCAGCCAAGCGATTCCATCGCCAGACCAGCACCCCTCCGTCGCCTCGCCTTCCTTTTTCCCTTCATTCTGAATCCACCTCACATGCTTCTAGGTCTTGGTTTCAGGTGAGACGATTTGCGCATGCTTTGCATGTGCTTGTTCTTGCGGGTCAACCCCCAAAAAAAGAGGAGCCATGTCCATGGCTCCACTGGGATTGGCCCCGCGAGCGCTGTCCATTCTTCGGACAGGAAACCGGTGCAATGAGAACGGGTTGGACTGGCGAACATCGTCGTGAGCATCGGACGGCGCGTCACTTGTTGATGTGGCGACGTGTCGCATCACACAAAACGAGAAAGCTCACAGCCGAGGAATGCCAAATGGGAAGAACATGTAGTAACAAGAAGGCTACTAGTAACAGGTGCCACGCTAGTAGTAACAAGTGCCTTACTAGTAGTAACAATGTTTGCTATTAGAAACAAGAAGCTACTAGGGTGGAGGCCATTACTATTGGGAGCAAGAACTCTACTAGGGTGGAGGCCATTACTACTAGTAACAAGAACGCTACTGGGGAATTAGACGTGTGAGGCTTCAGTTCTCAGAGACACCAGGCAAGCTGTACAAATGTTGGGGTTGCACAGGATCATATCCTGCCATCACCCCCCTGCTACGTTGAACTCTATTCGGTCGTTTGACGAGAGGGGGTGGGGGAGTGGGCTGGCTCTCTGCTCAAAGCGCCATGTCTGGTTCAAAGCAACAGGAGAATCAGCAGGAGCAGTGTGAAGAGTTCCTTTCTTCCGGCTTCAGGAAAATCACCAGAACCATCACAGCACAAGATCCACCGAAACAAATGGAGGATGATGCCAAAACTCGTCATTTCAGTGAACATTCTTGAACATTCCTCTACCTGGTCACGACGGGGGCTGCCCGGTTGTGCCAGATCTCTCCCCCACCGGATGCCCTTCATCTGAGCTGCTCAGCCCGCGCTCCTGGAGACCGGAAGAGAGACTCAGACTCTGAACACATCTTTCAACCTAAGAGCGATGGCCTCCACCCTAGAAGCACTGGCTTCCAACCTAGAATAGGGATGGCCTCCAAGTCTGAAAACAGATTTCAACCGAGTCGGCACTTGATTCCAACCATGATGACCTCCTCCAATCATGTCGGCCGAGGAAAAATCCATCCTCCATGTCTTGGGCTGGGAATCACCACTGAAACTGCAGCGACTTCGATTCAACTTGAGGTATATCTCCCTTCCTAGATTCCACCCTTCTTAAGCAGCTGATTTGAGTGATCTGATGATCTGATGACTTGACACCAGCTCAAGTGACGAAATGAAGAAACAAACCAGCGACTTCGCCATTTTACAGTGATCACCTTCTCACCTTCAACATCATTCAAGGCTCGAACCGAGGAGACCCTCGTTCACATGTTCACACATGTTCACCGTTCTTTGTTAGGAGCAAGAAGCTATTAGGAACAAGTGCATCGCTTCTAGTAACAAGTGCCCTACTAGTAGTAACAAGAAGCTACTAGTAACAAGTGCCACGCTAGTAGTAACAGGTGCCCTACTAGTAGTAACAAGGACGCTACTAGAAACAAGTGCCTTACTAGTAGTAACATGTTCACCGTTCTTTTCGTCTGAACCAAAAAAAACGATGTTCGTGCCCCCATCGTCCCCCGACGTGGTCACGTCCTCGAGGACTTGGGACCACGTTGGGAGTTGGGCGCCGGGCGCCTCGGGGAAGAAAGACGTGAAGCTACTAGGGGCTCCTGGCCTTACTACTAGGAGCAAGGCCCTTACTACTAGTAACAAGAAGCAAGTAGAAACAATATATAAATAGAATTCCATTAGAATCTACTAGGACCTTTTCCCGCGCGCAGGGGGGGGTAGGAGCAAGGACGCTACTAGGAGCAAGGACGCTAGTAGGGGCTCCTGGCAGAGCGATCGGACGCTACTAGGGGCTCCTGGCATCGCTACTAGGAGCATCCTTACTACTAGTTACAAGCTACTAGGGGTAGTAGCTACTAGGACGCTACAGTAGCGATGCTAGGAGCGCCCCGTTCGTAGGGAGGCCCTTTGTTCCTAGTAGCCATGCCAGGAGCCCCGTTCGTAGCGTCCTTGCTCCTAGTGGCGATGCCCTTGCTCCGTTCGTAGCTTCAAAGCTGTGTGGGCGGGATAAACGATTCCATCGAAGGGCGAACTGAACTCTGGGTTAGGCGAACCGAACACACGCCGAGCATCAACATCGACCAGGTCGACCCGGTCGACTCGCGACATCCGTTGGAAGAGTTGGTGGAAGACATTCGGAGGTTGGAAAACCGAGGAAAACACTAGTAAGGCACTTGTTTCTAATAGCTTCTTGTTACTACTAGTAAGGCACTTGTTACTACTAGCGTGGCACTTGTTACTAGCACAATGACACACGCTCCTCTTTTTGGGGAAACCAGTGGGGAGCCCCGATAGACACCTGGCACATCCTGGCACAGCATGCGCCCTCACCTTTCTGTCGCCCTTCCACCGAGGCACAAAGAGGGCACGGCCCGTGGCTGTCGAGCACCATGGACGCGAGACCAGAGGTCTTGTCGCTTGGGGCTCAAGCCTCGACGTGGCCGATCTGGTCGTGGCTGTGGCTTTTGGCTGGACATGCCGTGGCTTGTTACTGTGAACAGGTTGTGAAGAAAAGGAGGGTCACCAGTTTTCCACGAGCCGATTCGGGTCCCTCCGAGCTGTGGATTTCCCAACACAGATCCTTACGATTTCCTTCCTGAAAAAGGTGCCTATAAGCCTTTCAGGGGGCACCCACTGGTGTCGACCCACCACAACAAAACGCTCAAAACAAAGGATATTAAGACGTTATCAATGGTCCCCACTGCTGCGGGACGACGACACTTGCCATTGTTCGGCTGCAGCGACACCTCTGGGCCGAGGCGCTCTTGAGCATGGGATTCACTTGGGCTGCTGGTTTCGATTCCTTGGTTCAAAGGAAAGGCTTCATGGGATGAAGCCAAAGGACGCGGTTCGGCGAAGCTGCCACGAGCTGCCAATTTGTGGAGCGGCCATTTTCTTTCTGGCCCATTTTGGAAGTTCCAGGCTAATGTTGAGGAATATCATGTGCCGTGGTAACAGAAAAACTTTTGCAACTTTGTTTCCTGCCGTCCGTCTTTTCGCTAACAAACCACAACTGGTTCTTGAGACTTATGTTCTGGCGATGATGTGGGCCGGAAACAGTGCCCAGCACGCTTGAAGCTCACAATCATGAGTATCATGAGGGCAAACATGTTACGTTCGTTGAACCGACCCAAAACCATCGTCCCCGTTCGCGCTGAAAAGACACCCCCGTTGATTTCACCCGAAAACAGGTCAGCCATGGTCAGCCATGGTCGCTATCCACACAGAACACCTGACCTCTCATCCGCTGGTTACAGCTGCAAGCTCACAACCGCCAAGGAACAGCTGCTTCCAGGTGTGCTCGCCGCGCTTGCCTTGGTTTTCACCGAGCGACGGTTGTGAACTCCAACCTACTAGAGACACCCAGCGCAAGTCCTGTTGATGAAAGGATTTTGTGATTCAAACGCCATGGGTGAAGGGAAGTAGCTTGCGCGAGATTGGAATGGTGACATGTGATGCACACCCCAAGAACCAAACATAGGTTCGATTCACATCAGGTTTTACGGGATATTCTATGATATTCTCTCGACCTGATTCAACCCGTGCGACCTGGTTCGCTGGTCTTTTCGACCAGCAAACTCGAATCACGACCTGCTTATGCGACGAACGAAGAAGACAAAGAACTCCCACATCCTTTGGGAGCCATGAACACGAGCCAGGGAAGCTACTAGGAACAAGTGCCTTACTGGTAGTAACAAGTGCCTTACTAGTAGTAACAAGTGCCTTACTAGTAGTAACAATAAGAATTTAATTAGAATTGTAATTACTAGCAAAGGAATCTACTAGGACCTTTTCGCCAGCCCACCAGCCCCAGCTATGAACACCATCCTTCTCGTTGGACAACCACGGTCCCTATCCACCTTTCCACCTTCCTCCAGCCTAGTAGCCATGACCTCCAGCCTACCAGCGATGGCCTTCAATGTGAAAGCAACTCCTAGTAGCGTCCGATCGCTCCTAGTAGTAAGGCCAGGAGCCCCTAGTAGCTTCTTGTTACTAGTAGTAAGGCACTTGTTACTAGTAGCGATGCACTTGTTCCTAGTAGCGTCCGATCGCTCCTAGTAGCGAAAGCATCACTGCACCGAGCGTCTCGGCTGCGGAGGGGCTTTCCACGTCCTCCGGCCGCGCCAGCTGCATCGCTCCAGACTCAGCCGGGACGATCGCCGCCTGGCGACCGGTGCGTGCGGTGACCAAGGTGCCAAAGATTTGGAGGGAGAACTGGATGAGAGAAGTCCTCCTGGACAACTCGAGGAGGATGACATGTTCTTGTTTTTTTGTTATCTGTGTAGTGCAGGATTTTGTTTGTGGGTTCTGTCGTTTTTTTTCGTTTGGTGAGTTCTTGTCCATGTCTGATCTCTGTCTCAAGGCAGTTCTGCTGTTGATTCTGGAGTGAGTGATCCGAAGCGTCCGAAGCTCGTGACGCGTTCAGGACGCGAAGTTCGGATGAGATGCAAAGAAGACGGGTAGAAACAAGTGCCACGCTAGTAGTAACAGGTGCCTTACTAGTAGTAACAAGAACGCTACTAGGGGCTCCTGGCCTTACTACTAGTAACAAGAAGCTACTAGGAACAAGTGCATCGCTACTAGGAGCAAGGGCTTTTCCGAAAGCACCAATCGTCGAATGTGGTCATCCCCTAACACCAGACGATCTGGAGATCCCATTCACCCCAAAACTGGCTTTATGAGTGCCTGCCTAAACCACTGATTAGTGCTCACGCCCTGACAAGGACAAGACCTTCGGAGAAAACATTGAGATCTCTTACCAAAACGAACGAAGGATGTGAAAGGCAATCCGAAAGTGGCCTTTCATGGCTAGAACCCAACGGATTTTGTTCAAGCTTTTGGCACTAGATGGCTGGTCACACACAAGTCGTGACAGGGTTTCCCCTCACTTTCTCAGTTTCATGTGAGAAGTACAAGATCAAACATCTGTGTGCTTGGTGCGATCTTTCGGATCTGGGCATTTTCAGCCTCAAAGAACTCCTCCAACCACAGAGCGTCGTCGTTTGGATCTGACTCCTCTCCGGCCTCCACCCGGCACCTCCAACCTAGCTAACTACTTAGCAAACTATAGTCCTTTCTTCCTTAGCAACTACTAGTAGTCCACACTAAAATCCTTACTACAGTCACTACTAGTAACAAGTGCCACGCTAGTAGTAACAGGTGCCTTACTAGTAGTAACAAAAAGCTATTAGACTTAAATTAATTTTAATAGCTTCCAACAATTCAGTCACTATGGTCTTCTCTTTTTGCCTCGCAGAACCTCCCCACCTCCGCCGCCGCCTCGGCGCTCTCCGAGGCCGCCGTCGGACTTCGCACCTCCAGGCGCTGCTCCTCGTTGGACCTGAGACTCGGGGCTCCGGTGACTCGGCCGATTCTTTACTAGTAACAAAGTGCATCGCTTCTAGTAACAAGTGCCTTACTACTAGGAGCAAAGAAGCTAGTAGGGGCTCCTGGCCATACTACTAGAAGCAATGTTCGCTACTAGTAACAAACCAAGGCTTCCCCGATGGAACCGTGTGGGAACGGAGGGTGGAGGGATGTGGAGCCATGTGCAACATCTCCTGCAGCTTTCCTTCCCCTCTCACCGGTATCATTTCAAGAACTCTGTGGAAGTGACGAAGTGGCCAGTGCCACCTCATCTCAGTCAACGACAGCCTCACCTCCGTTGGCCATTCAATCCTCAAGGAATGTCGTTTCCCACACTACCCAAGAGGGTTCGACATGGGTTCGACACATTAGCGCATCAGCATCATATACCAACAGTGCCCTGGCGTGAGCGTCTTCCCATCACATGGTCAGCCTTTGTTCGAAGAATATCGTTCACAACCAACGAACCATCCTTGAACATGTCCTTGAAAAGAGATATTCCTTATCCCCATCATCCTCATCATCTCCACCTCCCTTTCACCTCCCTCGCGCCTCTCTTCCGCCTCTTCCTCTTCCTCCGGCTCCTCCCGCGCCGGCTCCGGCACGGAGGGCACCGGCGCGGCGGCCAGCGCAGCGGCCGCGGCGGCGCGGAGGTCGGCGTCGCCTCCGTACAGAAGGACCGTGGTGATTCGTTCCGCCGGCATCGCTACGAACGGAGCGATCAGACGCTATGAACGGGGGTCCTGGCCTTACTACTAGGAACAAGAAGCTACTAGTAACAAGGGCATCGCTACTAGTAACAAGGGCGAAGGGCTCTTCACCCAGCGAAATTCACGAAAGAGAGAACTTGCACTCATCATTGAAGCAAACGGCTGGGGCTGGCCCTTTGTTCCTATGAAACCACCGTGTCCCTGTTTGACCGTGTCCAATTCTCTTAGCTTCTTGCTACTAGTAGTAATGCCCCTTGTTACTAGTAGCAAATGCCCTTTGTTCCTAGTAGAAAGGCCAGGAGCCCCGTTCGTAGCGTCCAATTCTCTTCTTTCGCCTGCATCTTCCGGCAGTTCCACGTCATCGCCTTCCCTTTCATCCTGGATCGGCGCAGTTGGACGACGGTTTCGTGGGCGGGGCAGGACGTTGATCTGGATCCTTTGGTGTGTTTCGTGGGAAAGTCGTGTGGAGTGGAACTATGAATTCCTTGAGGAAGTCCTTCTCAGGTTCTCATGTTCTCATGCATGACCCCAGCTGATATCAAGCATCAAGCAGCACTTCTTCAAGAAACTCAATTTCGTAGTTCCAGCAAACGGCGCGATGCCGCAACCTTCGACCACCGAGGATCACCCACGGATGTCACCGACGGATGTCAGCCGTGCCGCTCGACTCTCCCAACGACCGGTCCGAACGGAGCTTCCACAAGGTGAACCAACACCACACAGGTGGTCCCGCCAGGGGAGGGAAGGCTTCTCAACTTCTCAAGCTTCCACCACACTCACGTGCTCGACGGCGGATCTCCGCCTCTGATGGTGGCCGATCCTTGCTATTTGAAGCCTGCACAGGGAGTGGCGTTGGTTCAACTCACACCTGCAACGCTTTTGGATTGAAATTTTCGAGGAATGGTCCAACGCTGTTAGGTTGGAGACCATCGCTCTTAGGTTGGAGGCTATTGCTATTAGAAACATTAAAAAAAAACAGAAAAAAGAAAAAGAAAGAACGGTCTATTATGTTTATGAACAAAAATAAAAAACAAAAATAATCATGTCTAGTTTGCTATTATAGGTTGGATGGTCCAATGGTCTTTCCGATCTGTTTTGAGGAATGGCCCTCATGGCTTAGAGCTCGGTCAACTGGAAAAGACCGCAGAGCGTCAGTCCTCCCACAGAAAAACACACAGAAAAGGGCCAGGGGAAGAAAAGGGACAGTGGCATCCCATACTTTCCACTGAACGCCCTCAATGATTTGTGTTACTATTTGTATATCTCACATCCCAATTCTCCCCCAAAACCACAACTAGTTGCTCCCGGTTCGGCCCGAACTCTGCTCGCCTCACTCTCTTGCACATCCAAGAGGTCGGGTGGATCCACCAACTCCGAGGAGGACGGAAAGGAGCGGCTCTTCATCAACTCTAAACCTCGAGCAGCAAGAAGCTACGAACGAAGCAAACGGCATCGCTACTAGGAGCAAGGACGCTACTAGGGGCTCCTGGCCGTACTACTAGGAGCATCCTTACTACTAGTAGCAAGAAGCTACTAGAAGCTTGAAGAAGCTACTAGTAACAAGTGCCTTACTAGTAGTAACAAGTGCCTTACTAGTAGTAACAAGAAGCTACTAGAAGCTACAAGAAGCTAGGACGACCAGGAGGGACCGGGGTCTGAGGGCCTGAAAATCATCTCTGGAGCTCACGAGGATCGGAACCGCTCCGCGAAAGGAGGCGGCCCGAAGCCCGTTTTGGGTGGGGGGCACGGTATGGACTCGCGGTTTTCTCTCTTTTTCTTGTGTACAAAAACCAACTCTCTTTGTTCCAATTCGTCCAGAAAGAGCTGCCATTTCCCTTCATGCAAGCCTTGCAAGCAAGGCTTCACCGAACGACAAACCAAAACGACTCCAGCTCCCACACCAACAACAAAAAAAAGAAGGAGAGACAAACGACTCCCAACGAACCTTTTCACGGTCACCGAGCCACTCCTGGCATCCAACGGTCTCAGCTCCGGCAGCTCCTCCTCGTCCTCGTCCAGTTCGTCCTCCAGTGCATCCACCTCCACGGAACCCTCGTCGGAGCGGGAGCGCGAGCCGTCGCCCTCGGACGAGGACGCCACGTTGGACTCCCAGTTCTCCAGGGCGAAGCGGTTCTCGTTCTCCTGGCATTACTAGGAACAAGAAGCTATTGGGAACAAGTGCATCGCTTCTAGTAACAAGTGCCTTACCACTAGAAACAAGAAGGTACTAGGGGCTCCTGGCCGTACTACTAGTAACAAGAACGCTAAGTTGCGGCCAGGGCCACAAAAGAAGTCTGTCTCGACCGACGGGTGGCGTCGACCGTGGAGTTTCGGACTCCTCGAACCGCAGATGGAAACTCTAGGAGCGATCGGACGCTACGAACGGGGCTCCTGGCATCGCTACTAGGAACAAGGGGCTTACTACTAGGAACAAAGAAGCTATTAGAAACAAGAAGCTACTCGTAACAGGTGCATCGCTAGTAGGAACAAGTGCATCGCTACTAGGAACAAGAAGCTATTAGAAACAAGAATTAGAATTCATTGATCTTCTTGACCGTTGGCGTTGGGGTTTCTGTGGTTCCAAGGTGGCGGAACGTCGCGCAGTCGACACCTGGTCTCTCAATCGCCGCGGTCCGAAGTGAAAACGAAGAAAGCAGTTCCAACGTCCATCTGGACGGGGAAACTCTCTTCAACGTCCATCCAGCCGCACCGGTGTTGATGACATGCTGACATGGTGTCACACGAGCACCCTATAAACTCCGATCTGTCATCAAATTGATGAGATATACAGATATACCATCCCCCAACCACGGCGGCATTATACTTCTGAAAAATCATGTACCACAAAACCCTTTGGCATCCGAGTGAATTCATGTTTGTTCACCCCCGACCAACGGACCTCCTCGCGCGGCTCCAGGCCCGACATCTCTCGCACGTAGTCGATGGGCGAATGTCCTCCGACCCCAAAGAGGTGACGGTGTTTTTTTTTGAGTTTAGTTTGGACGGTTCCGTTTTGACTCACTACGCGAGCACGTGCAAAGACCGAAGTCATTTCTGCAGAATTCCTCAAGCTGTCCCCGACGACAAGTCACTGCTTCACGACCTGGGCACACCTGAAACTTGTCCGTTCGTGTCTTTTCTTCTTTCCGTTCTTTTTGGAGCTTTCTTTCTTTTCTTCTTTCTTTGTTTCCAATAGCGATGGCCTCCAACCTAAAGCACAACTTGTCACTGCTTCCTCTTTTTGAGCAGGAAGCAGGTCTTGCTTGATTGAGGTCACTCTCTGGGCTCTTCATCCCCCAACAGAAGGTGTCACAGTACCTGTTTCGACACCGAAAAGGACTCCGAAAATCTCTCCACACCTCCCCAGACCGCTCTCCTGCTGCTGCCAGTTCCAGGTAGGCTTGCAGCTTGTCAGCCCGGTCGGGCTCGGGCGGCGGCAAGGAGGGTTCCTCATCGTCCTCCAACTCCTGCCAAGGACGCTACTAGGGGCTCCTGGCCTTACTACTAGGACAAGAAGCTACTAGTAACAAGTGCATCGCTACTATAGTAACAAGAAGCTACTAGGGGCTCCTGGCATCACTACTCTACTCGGAACAAGGACGCTACTAGGGGTAGAAGTGGCTGTGGCAGTGGCTTCCGCGAGTGGAGATGGAAACGATGCGTCACGGATGACCCATGGATGGAGGGGGGTTGGGAACGAAGCCAAGGGCTCTGTGTAGTTCGCTGAGACACAGATGGATGAGCTGCCAGACGAATGAAGTGTGGCTGCTCCACGGCGGTGTGTGTTCCATGCGGAGGTGCCGTTCTCCCCAAGAGCTACATCCATCATCATCCATCTGGTCAAGCTCTTGCAACTGCTTGTCTTCAGCCCGGTCACTTTCTTCACCCCAAAATGGCCCCACACCATGGTCCACATCTCCACAGTCACCAACTCCCCTGCCCCAACCCTCACGATTCCCCTGAACCCTCCCCCCCACCCTGCCTGCCACTCTTCCATGGATGCTGCGCGCTTCTGGTCGAAGAAGGCCATATCGTCCTCCCCCGTCGCCTCGCGCCGCTTGATCTCCCGCTGCAAGGTCCGTCGGAGGATCACCTGGTCCGAGACGCGCGGTGGCGGTCGCCGAGGAGTCCCGTTCTGCCATGACACTCGTCTTCCTTCACTTTAAAGAATCGCTCTTTCATGGTCGCTCTTTCCAAACAAGGGTTGCAAGGTGATGCAAGGTGATGCAATGTGATGCAAGTTGCAAGTTTGGTCTGCTCCTCCAGGCTGTTTGCTTAAGCGGCGCCGCTCGAAGCTCCCAAGAACTTCGAGCCGTGCTGAGCTAAGCATCACTGGCAACCGTCAATAGAGGTGATCAAAGAGATCGAGGGATGCCAAAGACAAAGACGTACTGGGAAGAAAACGGTTGCAGGTATTTTTCTTCTTGCCGTAAATCCGTCTGCTTGTTTTTGATTGCTGCGTTTTTTTTGGTTTTCTCCGACCCACCAAATCCCGCCTCCTCGAGGATGCTGCCGACGGCCACGCCGATCCAAACGGCCGTGAAGGCTCCGAAGAGGAAGTTCCAAGGGCAAAGCATACCTGGCAGCGGCCGTTTCAACGCCGAAGAAAGCCGTTTCAAGCGAGAGTATTGTTCATGGCCAGGCAACAAAAGCCTTTCCGAGGTATTTTGGGACATATCTGCACATAGGTGATATGTCCAAGGTTTTTCCAACGATGTTCCTTCAGTGGGTCAGTGAGGCCTTCGTGCAGTTTTCAGCGCTGCGTTCGTGCTGCTGTTTGTTGCTCCTGAAAGCAGTACTATCTTACTTACGAAACGCGAGAATAGCAAACCCAATCGTTTGCTGGTTCAGTAGCTGATACAGTTACCTTGTACACCACTCAAGAGTAAAGTGACTCGAAGAACTCAGTTCACAAATCCAAGGAGCCCCAAAGACGAACAAAACATGGTTCAAAAAGGGGTTAACGAACGAAGCGTCCTTGCTCCTCGTAGTTTCCAAGGGTCAACGGAGGATTCGGAAACTAGCCACGGATTCGGCGGATTCGGAAACTATAAGGAGCGCGGAGCCACGGACACGAACGAAGTGAAATATGAATATGTCCACGCTACATCAACACAAACATTTCATTAGATCCCCACCCCACCCCCCCACCCCTTCTGAATCGGCCAGTTTCTGAATCGGGTGAGTTTCTGAAGCGGGACACTCTGTAGTTTCAGAATCGCAAGTTTCCGAATCGTAGTTTCTGAATCGGAGCTAGTTTCTGAATCGTCTTCTGTTCGTTTCCAGGGAAACCGTTGCCTTGAAGACCAATCCACACTCAGAGACATTGACCTAGATCAACGTCCACCCGAACCACCTCGTCACGCCGAGCCACAGGCCGATAAGACGCACGCGAAGAAACCCATGAGTTGTGGGAAGCTATCCATCAAGCGATTGATGGTCAAGGCGGAGATGTTCGCGAGAATCACCACCTGCGGACCCGGCTCGCAAATCGATCGACGGTGTCCATCGGTCCTTTCCCAAAGTGAACAGGCCAGTGAATCAGGACAAGTCGTCTCTAGCCAAAAACCACGAAAAAGGGGGAACAACTTCACAACTTCTTCCCAGTCAGTCATTGAGTAATTTTTACAAACCTGAGTGGAATCTCTAAACAGGTGAGTGGAGACCCAGACTCCGAATGTCGGGTCTTTGCCACCAGAAAACAGAAATCAGACACACTCCGAATGTGGTGCCAAACCTGACAGAAATCCGCCATGATCCGCCATGCCCGTCGATGTTGCCTGCATCAGCAGCAAGATCTGTCGGTTCAAGGGGCTCAAGCCCAAGGGCGAGGCCACCCAATCGGTCAAGACCGTACTGATCAACGTGCAGGTCGGGATCGCCGCAAAACCTCTGGGAGAGAGAGAGAGAGAGACAACGATTGGAAGGATCCGAGCTTGGATGAATGTTTGGAATCGTTTGGATGGATGATGATGGATGCTTTCGGATCTTCCATAAAAGCCCATAAGGGACATCATCAGTTGGAAGATCCGAGCCTTCATGGGTTTGGCAGTCCGTGGTGGGTGGAGCAAACACCGAACCAGCCCCCGGAAAAGTCGTCGGAGGAACGAACCAATTCTTGAAGGACATTAGTAGTAACAGGTGCCACGCTAGTACTAACAAGTGCCTTACTAGTAGTAACAATGTTTGCCATCAGAATTAATTTTAACTTAATTCTAATAGCTTCTTGTTACTACTAGTAAGGCACTTGTTACTACTAGCGAGGCACTTGTAATTACTAGCAAAGGAAGGACATGTCCATGTTGGGTTTTTCCCTGGGACCCCCAAACTCCACCACCTTTCGCTACACCTTCGTTTGTGGTTCCTCAGAACACCGCAACAACACCGCCTCGTCCACAGAACTCCGCCGCTCGACCGTCTGGCTTTCTCACCTCACTTTCTCGACCGCGGAAATCGCTTTCAAGACACAGGGGAAGAACTGCATTGACCGCAAGACCACACGGGTCGGCGAGCTTCGCCAGCGCGGTTCCCGCTCCGCCTGTTCGTCGATGGGCTGTTGATCCTGCCGGGGGTTGACTGAACAGAAAGCGTGAAATGAAAGCAAAGCAACAACATGAACAGAACGGACAGAATCAACTTGTGGGGAAGAATCTGTTGCTTCCCTTGCTCCTTTTGGAGGTGAGTTTAGTTCCTAGAATAAATACCTTAAAACACGTGAACACTTGTGGTGGCATGCTTTTGGATGGTCTCCTGGTCGCTTTCGCTTTGCAACATTTTGGCCGGGTTCCGCATGCGCTTCTTTGGATACTCTCAAGCTAGTGTGAGCCATTTGGATCAACTGAATCGAAATCGCTTCAAACGTCCTCCTCGCGTCCGCGGTCCTCCACGAGGATGACCCGAAGCACCACGAATTGCACCGCCACGATCACGGCCACCAGGCCGATGCTGTCGCGCGCCGTCCAGCGGTTGCCAATCTGGTTCTGGAAGCTGAAGGAGTCCGTGATCTAACGTGAAAGACTCTCAGTTGGGCGAAAAAAGGTGCTCGGTCTTCTTATGTGCGTGCCGAGGCGGCACTGAGAATGTCAACTTCAGGCACACTCATATTATGGAATAACCACTCTGCATAGAGTCTAAGGTTAGACCACCCACTCTGGTTGGAGGTGCCGTTTGGAGACAAACCCGTCTGGTGAGGCAAGTCAACAAAGAAAGAACAGGTGGACAGCCCTCTCTGCGCTGCTTGGTTTGGACATCTTCCAGTTTCTAAAACAGCTCCATGGAGTACAAGGGTCTTGTTGCCCCAAAGTAGACACGTCGATCCTTCTCGCAAGAATCTGTTGCAAAGCCTCTCTTCGGATCCAGATTCGTGTAAAAAAGCGAACACACTAGGAGCAAGAACGCTACTAGGGGCTCCTGGCGTCGCTACTAGGAGCAAGAACGCTACTTAGTAACAGTAAAAAATAGAACACATCCGAAAACACGGCTTTTCGCTCTTCGCTTTTCGCGCGCGCTCACCGCCTGGCTCTCCATCTGAAGCCCCGCTTCTCCGGCGTAGATCACCACGGCGCCCAGGGCACCACCGGTGAGGACGGCGGCGAGGATCTTCAGGACCAGCTGGAGCATGCGCTTCTTCTTGGGTGCATCGCCCACCTGGCACTGGAAGTGAAGAGCTGTTGAGATAGGTTGAGATAGTCCAACCTGGCAAAAGGAACCTAAGAAGGTTGAGATACTCCAACCTACTAGCGATGGTTGAGATAGTCTTTGAGAGAGAGGTTCATTTTTGGGTCTTTGGGGTCCCCACAAGTAAACGGCATGACTGGAAAACACAGCAGCAGGCACAGAACCATCCATGAAGCTCGGGGGATGTAAAAAGTGAAAGCCTTTCATACTCGGACTCCAAGAGAGATGCCTTGAGTCTGTCCGAACTTACCTGTAAGAGTGGATGATGATGGTTAGTAAAGGCCTTGATCGAAAAATCGTGATTAATTGTTTACAGTTACGACTGCTACAGGTCATAGGACATATCATTTAGAAACAAGTGCCTCGCTAGTAGTAACAAGTGCCTTACTAGTACTAACAGAAAGCTATTATTTAATTTTAGTTTAATTCTAATAGCTTCTTGTTACTAGTAGTAAGGCACCTGTTACTACTAGCGATGCACTTGTTACTACTAGGACAACCCCCCACGAGGCTCGCTCTAAAGTTCACCCCGCCGGCGCTCACCCACGCGAAACCTTCGACGGCAGCGTACGAAGCTACCACCCTCCATGCCCCAGCCCTGCCGCTACCCGACGCACGCTCAATGCTTTAGTGTTCAACCCGTACTGTTGATGTAAGGTTAGAGAATGACACACGTCGAACTTGCATCAGGCTACTAGGAACAAGTGCATCGCTTCTAGTAACAAGTGCCTTACTAGTAGTAACAAGAAGCTAGTAGTAACAGGTGCCACGCTAGTAGTAACAAGTGCCTTACTAGTAGTAACAATGTTTGCTATTAGAAACAAGAAGCTACTGGGGTGGAGGCCATCGCTATTGGGCTTGGAATGCAACGTGAATCGGACCCGGACCGCCCCAAGGAGTTGAAGGGTGACCCGAAGCTGTACCAATCCACTCCAACCCCACCAAAAACTTTGGGGGGTTCAGCCCAGGTTCTTGCTTCTTTCTCAATGGCCCAATCTAAGAATGTTGAGAGGTTTTAAGGTCATTTCTTTTTCAACCCAATCCACTTTCAGGTTGCCACCTCCACCTCCACTCGACCCACCTCCCCGTGTTTTTTCGGGCATCCCTTCCGGATCCCTTTCGGAAGGCTCTGGTCGCCTCGGGCGCTTCTCCTTCCAAGGAGGCGTTGATGAGCAAGGTCAGCAAACTGTAGACATAGCCCACGCTGCTGGAGATGATGATCGCATTATCCTTGAAATCGCTGGAGCTGATGGGATTCCGGAGATGTTTTCCTTTCTCGCGTCAAACAAACAGGTGGTCGACACAAAATAGCTTTGAGGCGGGTGGGTTGGCATCTACCGGAACATCCTAGAATATGACCCGCATGTTTCTCGTTCTTTTTTTGGCCTTCTTGGTAGTTGTGCCGCGCCCTTGTTGGGATGCATTTACCCGGGGCAGGGGGTGAGCGGCGGGCGGATGGTTGTGCACGACTGAGTACCAGAAGCACAGTGAGTGAATACGCTCGGCGCACACTCTGTAAGTTCATTTCGTCGGGCTAACACGCCCATGCAGTAGCATCATGATCCGCTTGAATTTGGCAAAATTAATAAACGAACTACATTTCATGGTCGTAGCTCAAAAAATGAAGCCAACCTTTGACGATCCACAATACACAATCATGGACACATCGAATTTATTTGACCATCCATATGTTAATAGAGAGCGGGCAGTTGTGGCAGTGCGCTTTTTGGCCCATTTGCTATGACAAATGGACAATTTACACAAATTTATATATATATATATATATATATGTACCTAATTCAAGTGTAGTTTAATTCTGATTCAGCTCTAATTCAACTCTACATGCATTCTAATTCAATGTTCTTTCAAATTCAACACTAATTTAGATTCTAACTTTGTCAATTGGTCAGGCTTTCCTGCTGGATGCAATTGTTGTACAGCCATTTTTGGCAGTGCAGTTTTCTTGACAAATGTTGACTCAAACGAACACAAATTTGCAAGAAAACTGCACTGCCAGGAGTGCCTGTGTATTAATATGTACACTCACAATCACTCACATAGGTCTTTTTGGGTCCAAGATGCTCTCGAGGCCCACTCCGCCGCCATGATGCTACCGCTGATCATCCCTGCACAGGTGGCACCCGACAAGACCTGGCGAGCCGCGCGGGCCAAGGGGGATCAAGCACGATGGTGTAGCTGTAGCTATGCGGCTTTGAGCGTTTTGGGAAGGTTTTGGGAGGATTTTGCATCGCTACTAGTTACTACTAGTAACAAGAAGATACAAGAACCGCTACTAGTAAGAAGAGCATCGCTACTAGTAACAGAGATTGATTTTGCCGTACTTTTTTGAGATCCAAGCGGTGAAGGAAGTATGGTGAAGTCAGCTTGGAGATCCCATTGGTGAAGTTTTCTGACTCGACGAATTCCAAGTCTGGCCATCCGAACAGCCTTGTTGCAAGACGAAGCAAAAGATCGCGTCATCATGCAAGTCTTCATTACAGTGGCTTCAGGGTAGATGACACTGGCACCCAAAAATGTCCTGTAGATGGGGGTCCAGAAAGAAATCCCACCCAAACTTGGGGTAACGTGTGCCATCTACTCTGAAACCAGTGTACAATATCCCACTTTGTGATGGTGAATCTCCCAAGTCGAAGCGGAAGTTGACCAGCTAGTCCCCAGGAACATGGCCGAGAGCCAGGCAGAAAGAGATTCCTCTGTAAGGGAGATGTCAACCGCCCATGGTCTGGTGGGAGATGCCATGACTCACAGCTAAGTTTCCTCCCGATTGGGTTCATTGGCCAAGGGACGTTCATGGAGGGTCCCTCTGCCCCTTTTGGAGACACCGGGGACACCTGAAGTGGAACCGAGCAAAGAATGCGCCAACCAGCACTGTCCCGCAAGAAATACAGACCTTCTCAAAGCAATTTGCACTCCACGAAGGTGGAATTCCATCGCAAGGTGCCCCACTTCATCCCACTTCCAGCGTTTGCGGAACAGCTACACTCGGACTCACTAACATGGAAGTGCAAAACGGACCCCCCCCTGTTTCTAGGAGCAAGGACGCTACGAACGGGGCTCCTGGCCTTGCTACTAGGAGCAAGAAGCTATTAGGTTGGAGTGTGGAGCAGTCTTCCAAGGGGCTATTCTCCACTTCCATGTGACGTCTTCCTCAGAGTGTACACCTACTGCGCCACACCAACGAGCGCGCGGTCGGATCGCGGCGGGTGGGCCTGACCGGAAATGGTGCGGACCAACAGATTCACCTTGGTTTTGATGCCCTGAGCGCTGCTGATGGCGAAGTAGACACCCGTCAAGCCGTACTTCAGCAGCGCAGGGATGAAACGTTCCAAGGATGCCTGGGACGTTCCACCGAAACGCGATGGGAAGGGTGGGATTGTGTGACTGGGGGAGTGACTGGGCATGTGGAGTGACTGGTGTGACTGGGCATGCTTGGGAAGAAGCTTAATTACTATGGGAACCAAAGAACAGTTCTGCTGGTTTTGAAGCGGCATTCCTTCAATCTCAGTACTGTACAGGACACCACTTCCAAAGACACACAGCTCCCGTGTTTGAAACAAAGCAGCCATGTGAAAAAAGATGTCACATCCAGACCAACCAAACAGAACGACAAAATGCATTCCATTGCCTATTGCGCACACACTAGGATGTTTAGCAAATGCCATCGATGCTGATCTGTGCGGAATCCGCTCGTCCGCTCATCCCCTCATCCCGGTCTCACCTTCACAAAGGACAAAGTAAATCCACCCAGGATCACGTAGGTCCTTGGGCACAAGGAGCAAACCCGGTTTGGCTTTGGCACCCGGTTGGGTGCCTCACAAGATCTTCCAAATCAGGGCTTCTCACCTGGCCTTACTAGTAGTAACAAGAAGCTATTAGAAACAAGTGCCTTACTAGTAGTAACAGGTGCCTTGCTAGTAGTAACAAGAAGCTATTAGAAACAAGTGCCTTACTAGTAGTAACAGGTGCCTTGCTTACTAGTAGTATTCAGCAATATAGAACAAACACCTCCAGGCCCTCCGGTCGCCCCCCCCGTGGTCGTTCGACGTTTTCGACGTCGCGGACCGACCTCACGGATCCGATGCCCGGTGACTTGTTCCTAGTAGCTTCTTGTTACTACTAGTAAGGCACTTGTTACTACTAGCGTGGCACTTGTTCCTAGTAGCTTCTTGTTACTACTAGTAAGGCACTTGTTACTACTAGCGTGGCACTTGTTCCTAGTAGCTTCTTGTTACTACTAGTAAGGCACTTGTTACTACTAGCGTGGCAC